CAATATCGAATCTGCAATTAATAAAAGAGACTGGCTTAAACGTTATGGAACTTCTGAGGACTTTTGTAGGCAGCGAAATTATGTCAAACTGCTCGTGCGTAGGTCGAAGAAAGAGTATTTTAATAAGCTGCTGTCAGGCAAACCTAATTCCAAATCTATCTGGACTGCTATAAATCAAATAATTAGAAAAAAACGCACATGTAATACAGCTGGACATTGCCAGATATCTGCTGATGACTTTAACAATCATTTTATATCATCTGTAGCGCTCAACACAGATGCTGATTACACAATCAGTGAGGAGCTTAAAAATTTTTGTAATTCTGCTCACCGTGGTAGGACAGAGCTGATCATTCCGCTTCTCACTGTTCATGAAGTTTATGTTAGCCTAAGATCTCTTAAACCGTCTTCAACAACTTCGTTTGATGATATTTCTAATAATGTATTGAAGATTTCAGCTCCAATAATTTCCGAAGTTTTAACCTATGTCTATAACCTCTGTATTGCCAAGCATTATTACCCGACACATTTTAAGCATGCTAAGGTTATACCACTACACAAAAAAGGTAACATCCAAGATGCTAATAACTACAGGTCAATTTCTATACTTTCTTCCCTCTCCAAGCCACTAGAAATACATATAAACAAATGCATTTCATATTACCTAGAAAAGTTCAAGCTTTTCCATAGTAATCAGTCTGGGTTTAGAAAGTTTCATTCTTGTCACACTGCTCTGATTAAGATGAATGAAAACTGGCTTATAAATATTAACAAAAACCTACTCTGTGGCTCGCTGTTTGTCGATTTCAGAAAAGCCTTTGATTCTATTGATCACACCATACTTCTTAAAAAACTAATTCCATACAAATTCCACGACTTTACAGTTAGGTTACTTCACTCCTTTTTATCTAACCGATCTCAACGCGTGTTTCACCTTAATACCATCTCTTCACAGAAATATGTTAATATAGGGGTTCCACAGGGCTCAATCTTAGGTCCTTTACTTTTTTCTTTATACATTAATGATCTTCCATTACATATTGACGCTGGTCAGTGCGAGATGTTCGCTGATGATACTTCTTTGCATGTCTTTGCAGACAGTGCTGAGTCACTCAGTTACAAACTTCAAACATGTGCCAATCAGCTTGCAACTTGGACAAAATTTAACAAAATGAAACTTCACCCCGATAAAACCAAGTCAATGTTTATTACAACTCATCAGAAACGCCTTCGTCTTCCATCCACCGCATTAAACATTACTATAGACAATTCAAACATTGAACAGGTAGACAGTTACAAATGCCTAGGATTGTTTATAGATCACAACCTCACTTGGTCTGACCATATTCATTTTCTAAGAATGTCCTTATTAAAGACAACCTTTCAGTTAGCAAGGATAAAGAACTTTCTCAACTATAGGAGCAGGCTGGTTTTTTATGAGGCTTTTATTCAATCTAGGTTGGATTATGCTTCTGTAGTGTGGAGCGGCAGCTTTATATCTAAGCAGCGTCCTCTTCTTTCTTTACAAAAAAGGGCTATAAAACTGGTTACTGGCTTGTCTAGTAGTATGGATTCTTTTCTTACAACTAAAATACTTCCATTAAATAAAAAGATAATATATACTAAATCAATTTTCTTATATAAAATATTCCACGAAACAGCCCCCTCTTACTTATCAGATCTATTTTCTTTTAACATAAAATTAAATCGTCGTCTCAATTTACCATTCCCTTATTCAACCTTTTTCCAAAAACATAGCTTCGCCTACTCTGGTTCTAATTTGTGGAACAATCTTCCTAATAAAATAAAGCTATCTAGATCTGAAAATATATTCAAATCTAAATTAAAACTAAAATTATTTAATGACCTAACTGACTCATTGTAACATTTCTCATTCATCTATTATATTCTCTTTTTTATCTCATTATGTATGATAGCTATGTACCATTGTTTCTTTATTCCACATTTTCAGTGCTATGTGTTACTGCTATGTGTTATTGAATTGCTTTATTTGTTTAAACGGCCAATGTGAAAAAAGGCCTTTGTGCCTACAATTGTAACCGTTGTTTGAATAAATTTGAATTTGAAATTTGATTCATTCTTTGTTAAAATAGAAGCATTTCGAAAAGGCAAGAACAATTGCATTCAAATTATAGCAAACGAAAATGGCTGTTTGCTAATATTAAAACTGAAACAAAATAACCTGCTCACAGTTAAACATTGAGCCACTTAATGCAAGACTAACATACCTCGATTAACGAACGCCCCAACTTCTACTTTAGGCAATCACTTTTATTTTATTTTTACTTTCTCGTATATACGAAGTATAGAGAAAGTCTTGTAATCGTGCAAAAAAGGATTTTTACAAATCTTGACGTTTTACACCTCACTGATACGGAAAAACATAATTTTGCAACCTTGTCCGTATGTCTGTGTATGTGTCTGTGTGTAAACACGATAACTTGAGTACCGTTACAGCTAGGTTGATAAAATTTCATATATAATAAGTATTTCATCAACATCGTAGATCCCTATCAACTTTTGAGCGATTTCCAATAACCGGAAGTGGTACTTTTTCTACTTTGAATTTTTCAAAAGCCTATAACTTGAGTACTATTTCAAATAGATAAATGAAATTTCACATTTAAGTAAAAGTTCTAATTCTCTACATTCTGTCAAATTTTGAGTAATTTCCGTTGACCGGAAGTACTAATTTACGCTATTTCCGATTTCTCAAAAAACGCATGTAAATATATAAAGTACTAATAATATTGCGCACTATTATGCACATTTCATTTGACGTTCGCTTGGTGTGCAATCCTTTTTTCTACGAGATTTTATTCTATTTTAAAAACTTTAAGTATTTAAAATGGAGTTCCTATCCCCTGTTGTTTTATATAAGAATATTTGAGAAAGTTTAGGGGAGATCACTCCCGGTTTATTTTAATTTGTTTCCATAGTCTTTGCCCAACCAAGAACAAACTACAGCAGATGTTTGATTTTGGAGTTGTCTCTCCTAGAAGAGTGGCTATCCCCAGCTAACGAGCCTCATCTGCCCGAGGATTTGAACTCGAGACATTTCTGTTAAGCATCCACGAGCTTTACCGACTCGACCACGCCGATCCCCTAACATCTAACCAATATGTACTCATTTTTATCATGATTATATGTTGTCCCCACCCAGTACCACGACACACACACTAACAAAACACAGGCGAGATCCATCCGCTACGTCAGTAGCTAAAATTTGTGACTGTTTATTTTAGGCCTGTAGAAGTTTCCGACCTCTGCACCGCGATCTAGCCGGGTACCAGACGGTAAGACGATGTGGTGGGGGAAGTAAAGCCTGGATAGAGCCTACGGATGGATAAGCGACCATCATGTAGTGTTTCAAACCAACATCTCAGTCCACAATTGGCCATTTAGTTGGAGTTCACTACGTCGAGACCTCCCTGGCTAATGTGAGTCAAACTCCTGAGCCGGTGTCACGATAGTTATTGAACTGTAATTCAAGTTTTTATGTTGGGCATGAGAAAGCTGGAAATGCAGACTAACTTTGAACAAACGTAAATATCCATGAGAATATTATAATGCCGTTACAGAGCAGACGATAAAGACTGGTGGCACTTGTTTGATTATAGACGCAAAAAGAAAACAAAAAATATTAAACCACATTATGTACGAAATTATCAATAACATACAGAGGTTATTTAGGCTCAACTAAAACAGTAAGCACGGTATAAGCGTAAAAACCACACCTCCATCCTCTTAGGTATCATCCATTTATGAGGCCTACAAAAAGTTGGATTTCCACTGGCGTCCATTTAAAGAACGTCATCCCTGGCCTGTAAACCCGATATTAACGTTCACTGAAAGTAAAGGCCTATAAATGTTTTTAAAAGTTTATATCATACAGTGTTCACACTAGATTCATGTCATTTATGTGTCAGAATTCGACCGCTGTTTTTGTTTTAACTCTAAAATCAACCAAATTTATTGTGATAAGCAAACGCTGTCGGGCGGGTATTTATACTAAAGTGTGTGCTCGAGTTTGATATTTTGATCAAAAATTGAAATAAACTGGCCATTCAGATATTAAAACATTGGCTTTTATAGATAAAAAAAAAGCCAAAGATTTCACTTTAAAGGGAAATTTACTATGATTGAAAAAGGAAATTTGGGGGCCCCTAAAAATCGGGGGCCCCTGGCTGCAGCCCCCTCAGCACCCCCCTTAATCCGCCACTGGATGTAATATAATAACAATCAGCAGTAGTAATAAAAAGAAAACTGATTAACAATATAAGGTGTGGATTAGAACCAGTAAAACGAATACAGACGTAACGAAAAGTACAACACATAATCACAAATTCTAAATATTATATACACCTTGAGATTTATACTCCTGAAACATAAATGGAGTAGCATGAATTAAAAAGAAATATTGCAATGTAGGCTGTAGTATAAGTTAGCAGCTGTATCTAATAAAGCTGTAACGTTTAAAACAAAAAAAAAAACTATGTACGGCCAATATTTTAAGTATAAATCATGAATGGAATACATTTTTAGAAGTATACATTATGAAAAGAATCTGAAGTCTCTTTACAATCGTTACATAAGAAGATGTAAAGCAAACGGTGTAGGCCTAAAGAATACAATATGTGTCCAGTTAAAACAATAAAAGATGTGGACATACAATAAAAACACGTTTACAATACAACATGTATGAAATAACTCAAATGCGCATATCCCCTTAAACTAACGTAAACAAAACAAATGTTAAATACAAGTATACAAAAAACCAAGCACGCAAAAACGTCATTAGAGCACTACAATAACTAAACTATGTTATAAAACAGGTATAAAATGAAAAACCGTTTGAAATAAAAGTGTTATACAATTTAACCAGTATACGATAAAGTAAGTATACCTCATACATGTATACAATCACACAAGCATAGAATAAAACAGCTACCACTATACCATTGTGCTGATGTACTTACATTCACACGTTTTCCTGACCAGCGACTGCATAATGTAGGCCAGTAGGTCGTAGCTATTAATAGTAAACACGTTCTCGGGCTTGCTAGCCAATCCCGTCAGTTCATCCAGCGTCGGTTCTGCCCCGATCCCTACAGAGATTAGCGTGATGCCTTTGTCCTTCAGCGCGGTCGCCGATTTTAGCGCTAGAAACAAATAGATCGTGATAAAACAATGCCAAAACTTACAAAACTTTACATACAACATTGTCCAAATATTTTGCTATTTTTGAGCGTTTCAAAAAAAAAAAAAAAAAAAAAAAAAAAAAAAAAAAAAAAAAAAAAAAAAAAAGAAGAAGAAACGTCTCGTCAGTCAACATATGTAGATCCAGGGGCGTAGGAGGGGGGGGGGGGGGTGCGGAGCGCACCGGGTGACACCATTTAGGGGGTTTACACCAAGGCAAAAAAGAGCAAAATATATACAGAAAAATGATAATTCTAATTCATTAAGTGATTAATTCGAGTGTTAAATAGTCTTTTAAGAGGAGCAAATCGAAAATTTGAGGGGGGGTAGGGGGGGGGTTGTGCAATGGGAAAATTGAGAGTTTGTCCCCGGGAAGGGTCGCTACGCCTCTGGGGGTGACACCATTAAGTGCCGCACCGGGTAACACCCGATCTCGCTGTGTAGATCTATGTATTTTTTTCTTTTTTTAAAAAAAGTTGCACTTTGTAAAGAAATAATAAACGTAATTTTTGTTGGTGTCACATTTATAACGATTTGGGGTGCTGACTATGCAACAACCATTTTGAGTTTTATATTATTTTTTACTACTGAAATTGTTAATTTATTTACCACGTTGTTAAAACTCTAATACAAATGTATTTATGACAATTATATAACCCAAATTTGCAAAGAATTTAACTTAAGTAGTTATAGTTAGTAGTGCTTTTTTCACGAATCGATCAAACTGGTAAAGATTTATACAAATTTATTTGATTATCTCTCTTTATAAAGGGATGGAACTCAACAAATATTTATTTAGAAAATATTGCTATATATAAAATAATGTAAAAAAATATACGTCATTCTTTTAAAAGATTGGCAAGTATCAGAGACGTAGCGAGGGGGGGGGGGGGGGCTAGGGGGGGGCAAATGTCCCCGGGCGCCGACCTTAGGGGGGGGGGCGCCAAATTGAAAGTTCGAGGGGGGGTGCAAATCGAAAGTTTTGTCCCCGGGCGCCGGAAGGGGTCGCTACGCCTCTGGCAAGTATAGATCATAGTGGAATGGGGAAAAGGTTGTGGTTATATATTTATATGAATGGGGAATTTTTTAGCAAAGAAACATGGGAAGATAATGGTAAAGATTACAATTATGAGAGTTGAATTTAAGGATGAAAGAATACTAAGATAGTAGGAGTAAAGGATATAGTGATAGAATATTGATGGATGTTAAGATAAGACAATAAGATGATATGTTGATATTAACAATGATTTCCTCATAACTACAGTATAATCTTAATAGACAGGAACTAACTTCTTGAAGGTATATCTGACTTCCTTACAACTACAGTAGAATGTGAATACACATGTACTAACTTCTTGAAGGTATATCTGATTTCCTTATAACTACAGTAGAATGTGAATACACATGTACTAACTTCTTGAAGGTATATCTGATTTCCTTATAACTACAGTAGAATGTGAATACACATGTACTAACTTCTTGAAGGTATATCTGATTTCCTTATAACTACAGTAGAATGTAAATACACATGTACTAACTTCTTGAAGGTATATCTGATTTCCTTACAACTACAGTAGAATGTGAATACACATTTACTAACTTCTTGAAGGTATATCTGACTTCCTTACAACTACAGTAGAATGTGAATACACATGTACTAACTTCTTGAAGGTATATCTGATTTCCCGTCCGTCATAATGATGAGTATGTCAGGGGCGTCAGGTCTGCCTCCAGCAGCTGTGCCGAACATATCCTGTTTGGTGATCTCATCAAGGGCTAAGTAGGTCTTGGTCCCAGTCACATTGGGATACGCTATAGCAAGCAGGGTCTGTAGGTTGAAGTGTTAAGTTATTAGTGCTATTATGGGTGGAGAATAATAGTCTGAGTCAAAACTGACGTGAAAATGTATCTATACAAGGGGTCAATTTGGAGAAATTTCAAAATATTATTTTTTAGAAATTAAACAATTTTATAATATAAAAGCTTTTTTTCCCCATGAATAAAGTTACACATATGAAATTATTATTTAGCAATATGTAGCCAGGGAAATATCTGGATTTTTAAAAAATGTATTATTAGTGAAACATCAAGTTTTAAATTAATGTTGGTTAAATGATCAACGTTTAAAAAGAAAGTACCTTAGTTTGACCCTCCGAAGATGTGAGATTGCAACATTATTTGTTCTATTTTTTTTGTTCAAGTATTAGTATTATGTTTAAGCTAAACTTGTATTAAATATATTACGGTTAATTATATAAATTGTGCTTATTTTAATGCAGGTTATTTGAGCTCTTTTTTATTTTAATGATGATTATATTAACTTTAGTTTTTTAGTGCAGATTATTATTGTGTTTTTATTGCTTGTTATATTAACTGGTGTTATTTTATTATGTTCTATTATAGAATAACTAGAACAGAGACACTAGAATAAAAATAAAATCAAGCTCCTACCTGAGACAAAGAATCATGATCTAAATGGTCCTTTAAATCAAACTGTTTCTTGGGCATCCGGTTAAAAATCATGGCACCAAAGCGGACATTGTCAGGCCCGACGTTGAAGTACTGTGTGATGTTGGCTGAAAGCTGGGTCTGGTATTTCCAGTTCTCTTTCTGGATACTGGAGGATGCGTCCATTATCAGGATGATGTCGGCTTTTGTTGTTTCGGTGCAAGGCTCGGGGGTGGAGGGTGGGTATGGGGGTCGGGTGGAAACTGAAACAGGATTCCACAGTCAGGCTTTGTTTTCATCGGTCAAAACAAGCTTGGACAAGAACAAAACTGAAACAGGATTCCACATTCAGGCTTTGTTTTCATCGGTTAAAACAAACTTGGACAAGAACAAAACTGAAACAGGATTCCACATCCAGGCTCTGTTTTCATCGGTTAAAACAAACTTGGACAAGAACAAAACTGAAACAGGATTCCACATTCAGGCTCTGTTTTCATCGGTTAAAACAAACTTGGACAAGAACAAATCTGAGTGAAGTACTCGAAGTGGAGTAATATGGGCATAACGTGGAGGAGTCGTCCAAAACCGAGAACGATGGATAGGTGTGGTAGTGTTCATATGCTTCACAAAGGGCGTACATAACTATGATTTGATGATAGTTCGTTTAAATACATACGTGTTAGAAGGACATTAACATGGTATTCGTTATAAAATTTGGTACTAGGTTACTGTTAGGAAAATAAAATTGTCTAATAAATCAACGCTAAGTCAACCATTGTGGTGTTCTCTCACACGAACAAGTCTAAACACTGGCCCTAGTGTAATTCTGAATATCCTGAATCCTCGAATGTAATATTTCAATTGTATTAAAGGCTAGTGACCCTATTTTTGGAAGCCTACATTTTCGGATAGAAGGATGTATGGTAAATGAGAATGTGAGACACAAATTAAAAAAATAATTGTATTAAAGTTTCTATAGTATGTACCTGGTACTCCAGTAGTAGTAGTAGTTGTTGTTGTTGTTGTTGGTACTTCAGTTGTTGTGGTTGGTAATTCCGTTGTTGTAGTTGGCTCTTCCGTTGTTGTGGTTGGCTCTTCAGTTGTTGTAGTTTCAACTCCCGGTGTTGTAATTATCACTTCGGTTGTTGTAGTTTGTTCTTCTGTTGTAGTTTCAATTGCAGGTGTTGTAGATGGTGCTTCTGTTGTAGTTTCAACTTCCGGTGTTGTAGCTGGTGCTTCCGTTGTAGTTTCAACTTCCGGTGTTGTAGCTGGTGCTTCTGTTGTAGTTTCAACTTCCGGTGTTGTAGCTGGTGCTTCTGTTGTAGTTTCAACTTCCGGTGTTGTAGCTGGTGCTTCTGTTGTAGTTTCAACTTCCGGTGTTGAATTTGGCTCTTTGGTTGTTACAACTGGTTCTTCCGTTGGTGGTGCAGTCGTCACTAGACAATAAAAATGTTTCACAATTTTTAAAATGATATCCTACATCTGCTAGCATTTAATGGTTCCCAGAAAAATGAGCAATTAGAAAACTGCGCAACGGACTAATGCGCAAACAGAAAAAAAGCGCAAATGCAAGCTAATTATACTAATACACTTTATTTTGTCGTATTTTGAGGAAATATGTTTTATTATGCAATAATGCACATAAGATCACTATTTGTTAATGTCCATAAACGCTCGATTTAAAAAAAATGCCATTGAGCCCTTTTTGTGTGCAATTTTCAGCTGCGCAGTCGTCCATTTAGCATCTTTCCGATCACCCATGCTTAGTATTGTATAAAACTAATTTATTTCTTTAAAGATCATCAAAGTATACCGTCATCATAGTTTTCGGCGCTGTCCGAGTGGTAACCGCAACATTAATAGCTTAAAAAAATGAAGTATGAACGTATGATAGCGGTGTACGTCTTAAGGTAAGGTACCAGAACTATTAATACAAAAGACTTCTCATCTATGTTAAAGGTCATGTTTCTAATTGGCTTTAACATTTTGGACTTGAAGGGCGAAGTGACAATAGAAGTAGAGTTCATCTGTTTTGGCTTATAATGAGGTAATAATTAAGATCAGTACAATGACCTAGTGCTAGAACTTTCCCGTGAGTAAAAGTTACGTGTGCTCAGAGATTTCTAGCAGTAACGATTTCTAGATCGTGCCTTGGTACTTTCGGGCTAGTTGCCCAGAGTCATACAGGCAGGCTATATCCTATCATCAGGAGTAGACTGGGTGTATCAAAGACGCTAAGGAAATTTTTAAAGGACGCCCTAAACCTAGTTTGAAATTTTATTGTGCCTTTAGCCTTGATTAAACTAAAATTTTACGCCTCGATATTAAGACCCATATGGAAAAGTTCGGCCATCTCCATTACCACAAAAATTAGGATATTTAACGCAAATGTCAAGGCAGTTCTGCTGTATGGAGCAGAGACATGGAGAGTCTCCAAATCAAGCACAGCAAAGATACAGACCTTTATGAATAGATGCCTTAGATATTAAAACTGAGATGGAATGACAAAGTGCCGAACATAGAACTATGGATGAAAGCTAGGCAGGAGCCTATGGGTGTGCAAATAAGAAGGAGGAAGTGGCGCTGGGTGGGTCACACACTGCGAAAGGCTCACCCAAATGTTACACGCCAAGCGCTTGAGTGGAACTCCAGGGAAAGCGGAAGAGAGGGCGCCCAAGACAAACCTGGAGGCGGAGTCTTCTCGAAGAACTGAAGCCAATAGGGATGTCTTGGGAGATGACAAAATTATTAGCCGGGGATCGGATGAAATGGAAGGAAATGGTGGAGGCCCTATGTTCCATAAGGAACAAAGAGGACTAAGTCAAGTCAATTAATTAAGAAATAGAGGTTGTAAAATGCAGAAATAGCAACATATTATTTGTTTAAAGCAAAAATAACTAATATAATTATTACAGCACCATTCCTGTGGGCCTACCGGGATTTTACTTATCGGGGCCCGCCGAAATTATTCCCGGAAGACGGCGGGCCAGTCTCATCCATATAGCTGGAGTGACTACTAAAACGGTTTTTTTTTCTTACAGTTATGACCCGTGAACAAATAAAAAATCCAAAGTTTTCTCTTAAATGCTTGTGTAACAAACTAAACCTTGGCCTACCTGAGCAGGTGATGGTGACCAGACCTGTCTTGATGTGGTCCAGTAGACCGTAATTGTCCACAGTGAAGACGAAGCTCTTGTCACTTGCAATGTCCTCCAGCTCTTGTTTCGTGGGCTCTTTGCCGACCCCCACAGATATGATCTGTACCCCGCTGGCTTTCAGCTCTGTCGCCGCCTTGACAGCTAAAATAATGTGAATTAAGACTGTCAGGTATAGGAAACTACTTTTTTAAGTATTTAATCTTAAACCTAACTGAGATGTAAATAAAACTTCTTACTTCTTAGCTGAAACTTTTGTTTTTTTAAAATGCCGTTTTATTTTAACTTCAATATGTAACAAGGTGGTTGGTACTGTTGCTATTACTTGAAGTGTTGCTATACTATCTTTAATTTAATTAGTATCTGCTTAGTCTGTTATTCAAACCTGGGAAGTAGCTTCCAATACGGAAAAACTTACATTAGAAAAAAAAACAGAAGAGATCTTGTATTGACAACAGTGGTTCGACTATTACAGGAGCCTGTATTGTCGCTTAATGTACCAATAATTTATGTCATGGGGAGGGGATAGAAGGGGGGGGAGGGGAAGGTCGTAATGCTTTAAAACATTAACACAAATATTCAATCTTCCTGTTTTGTAAACCTTTCGCTGGATTCTTTTTCGACGTTAAAATATTTCTTGTGAAGTATGCGTATAAATGTGTCCTCACTTTTTCCAGATTTAAAGGATTTAAAGGATTCAATACACACTTATAAAAAAAACAAATGGTAGCTGCAGTGAGGTTAATGTAATTAGTAATAAAACAGATAGCATTAGTTACATCACAAGTTAAAGACAGTTACAAGTACTATGGACGTTTCGACCCAAGGTCTTCGTCAGCACACAACAGTGTGATTACAGATATAAACACTAACTCACTCAGGCTGTGGTGGGTGGACTTGCCATCTGTTATGACAATGACCAGGTTAGGGGCGTCGTCCCGACCCCCAGCCTCAGAACTGAACATCCTCTGTGTTAAAATCTCACTCAGACCCAGGTGTGTGTTGGTGCCTTGGTTGTTTGGGTACTTGATGTCCCTCAGAGCCTGAGATAGACCAATAAAAAAGTAAACTTAAGTTCTGCATTACTTTTAAAGTACGAATACTTATAACAAATAAAGCGGGAGAGATCTCCCCTAAACTTTCGCGAATATACTTGTATAACACTACGGGGGATGGCAACTCGGGATATAGAAATTATTTTAAATCAATTTTTGACTGCTTAAACTTTTTAAAATAGAATAGAATCTCGGAGAAAAAAGAACTGCGCACAAAGTGAAGAGCAAACAATGTGTTTATAATAGTGCGGAATATTATGGAGATGTCTTGATCGGGAGAGAGAGATTATCTTCTTCTTCGTTCGTAATTCTTGTGTTTTAAGTGATTCCTCCAACACAATATAGTATTACCTGTAAACCTGTTATGCACCATATATGCCGTTGACTCCGATATCAGCTTGCTTTTCTTTTTGGATTTGCTTTGTCCAACTAAGAACAAACTACAAGGCAGCAGTTGTTTGATTTTGGAGTTTTCTCTCCTAGAAGAGTGGCTGTCCCCAGCTAACGAGCCTCATCTGCCCGTGGTTTGAACTCAAGTCATTTTGGTTTGGCAACCATGAATATTTTTCTGACTCGAACACGCCGATCCCCAGAGAGCTGATGATCGCTTATTCTAAAAGCCCCGAGTTTAGACCCCGGACAGATGGGAACCTCTTGCTGGGCTAGAAACACACCTTGTCAGCAAGCACCAAAATCGCTGCACTGCAGAGTTTACTAGAGTGGATAAAAGGCTATACAAACAAATCCAGTTTAAAAAGTAGGCTGTTGTCACTTTCAACGGATCCTTCACGTCGCATAGCATGTTGACAAGTAATAATTATAATGGATGACATTACCTTCAATGTGACAATAAGAACAAAGAAGAAGATAACACCGACGATTTTCGTTTGTTTTGGAGGATAAATAAACCTACCTGTGACAGAGCCTGACTGTCCGTGAAGGTGTTCAGGTCAAAAATCTTACTGGGCTGCTTGTTGAAGATGACAGCACCGAACCTGACATCGTCCTTGTCGGGACTGAAAGCTTCCGTCAGCCCCGCGGCGAACTCGACCTGTTTCTTCCAGTCTTTTGGTCCCACGCTGGTCGAGGCGTCCATCAGCAGCACGAAGTCCGCCTTGACTTTACTGATGCAGATCGGCTCCGGCTCTGGTGTTGGCTCCGGCTCTGGCTGAGGGCCTGGTTGGGGGGTGGGCTCTGGGCCAGGCTGAGGGGATGGCTCTTGTTCTAAAGTAACATAACAAATAAATCAACTAAGTTACTTCATATGTCATTATAGGGCTTGTAAGTAGGTCACAACTTCTCGTACTCGTACTTGGCAGCCAGTAGATTTCGAGACCGTAGACTTACAAGCCCTCTAATATACATGACCATAGTTTTTAAATAATATCAAGAAAGGGAAAAAAATAACTGAATTTTATTTTTGAACGAGATTTTATATCAACACACAGGTATTGCATGCTCATTGCTATTTTTGCGACAGTTCTAAAATTGATTAAAAAGTGGTGTATTTAATTTAAATTTTCAATAAATTGGTTATTTATATGGGTATAGTGCTGACCACACTATCTCTTCACATGCCGAGGAGAAACTCCACTTCACTTACCCCATAGACCGTCAGGTTCGAAAAAAAAGGGGGGGGGATTTCATTTCAATATATCAACAAAGCAGCACATTTTATTTCAAAAACAGCCGTAAGTAATCGTGTTTTTGTATTACAAGAACCACAGAATAAAGTATCTACAAATTTCAACTCACCACACTGGGTTGAGGGTTGCTGATACAAGAACCACAGAATAAAGTATCTACACAATTCAACTCACCACACTTGGTTGCTGATACAAGAACCACAGAATAAGGTATCTACACAATTCAACTCACCACACTGGGTGGCGGGTTGCTGATACAAGAACCACAGAATAAAGTATCTACACAATTCAACTCACCACACTGGGTTGCTGATACAAGAACCACAGCATAAAGTATCTACACAATTCAACTCACCACACTGGGTGGCGGGTTGTTGATACAACAACCACAGAATAAAGTATCTACACAATTCAACTCACCACACTGGGTTGAGGGTTGCTGATACAAGAACAACAGAATAAAGTATCTACAAATTTCAACTCACCACACTGGGTTGCTGATACAAGAACCACAGAATAAAGTATCTACACAATTCAACTCACCACACTGGTTTGAGGGTTGCTGATACAAGAACCACAGAATAAAGTATCTACACAATTCAACTCACCACACTGGTTTGAGGGTTGCTGATACAAGAACAACAGAATAAAGTATCTACACAATTCAACTCACCACACTGGGTTGTGGGTTGCTGATACAACAACCACAGAATAAAGTATCTACACAATTCAACTCACCACACTGGGTTGCTGATACAAGAACCACAGAATAAAGTATCTACACAATTCAACTCACCACACTGGGTTGTTGATACATGAACCACATAATAAAGTATCTACACAATTCAACTCAACACACTGGGTTGTGGGTTGCTGATACCAGAACCACAGAATAAAGTATCTACACAATTCAACTCACCACACTGGGTTGCTGATACAAGAACCACAGAATAAAGTATCTACACAATTCAACTCACCACACTGGGTTGCTGATACAAGAATCACATAATAAAGTATCTACACAATTCAACTCACCACACTGGGTTGCGGGTTGCTGATACAAGAACCACAGAATAAAGTATCTACACAATTCAACTCACCACACTGGGTGGCGGGTTGCTGATACAAGTACCACAGAATAAAGTATCTACACAATTCAACTCACCACACTGGGTGGCGGGTTGCTGATACAAAAACCACAGAATAAAGTATCTACACAATTCAACTCACCACACTGGGTTGCTGATACAAGAACTACATAATAAAGAATCTACACAATTCAACTCACCACAGTGGGTTGCTGATACAAGAACCACAGAATAAAGTATTTACACAATTTAACTCACCACACTGGGTTGCTGATACAAGAACCACAGAATAAAGTATCTACACAATTCAACTCACCACACTGGGTTGCGGGTTGCTGATACAACAACCACAGAATAAAGTATCTACACAATTCAACTCACCACACTGGGTTGCTGATACAAGAACCACATAATAAAGTATCTACAAATTTCAACTCACCACACTGGGTTGCTGATACAAGAACCACAGAATAAAGTATCTACACAATTCAACTCACCACACTGGGTTGCGGGTTGCGGATACAACAACCACAGAATAAAGTATCTACACAATTCAACTCACCACACTGGGTTGCTGATACAAGAACCACATAATAAAGTATCTACACAATTCAACTCACCACACTGGGTGGCGGGTTGCTGATTCAAGAACCACAGAATAAAGTATCTACACAATTCAACTCACCACACTGGGTTGCTGATACAGGAACCACAGAATAAAGTATCTACACAATTCAACTCACCACACTGGGTGGCGGGTTGCTGATACAACAACCACAGAATAAAGTATCTACACAATTCAACTCACCACACTGGGTTGCTGATACAAGAACCACATAATAAAGTATCTACAAATTTCAACTCACCACAGTGGGTTGCTGATACAAGAACCACAGAATAAAGTATCTACAAATTTCAACTCACCACACTGGGTTGCTGATACAAGAACAACAGAATAAAGTATCTACACAATTCAACTCACCACACTGGGTTGCGGTTTGCGGATACAACAACCACAGAATAAAGTATCTACACAATTCAACTCACCACACTGGGTTGCTGATACAAGAACAACAGAATAAAGTATCTACACAATTCAACTCACCACACTGGGTTGAGGGTTGCTGATACAAGAACAACAGAATAAAGTATCTACAAATTTCAACTCACCACACTGGGTTGCTGATACAAGAACCACAGAATAAAGTATCTACACAATTCAACTCACCACACTGGGTTGCTGATACAAGAACCACAGAATAAAGTATCTACACAATTCAACTCACCACACTGGGTTGCTGATACAAGAACCACAGAATAAAGTATCTACACAATTCAACTCACCACACTGGGTTGCTGATACAAGAACCACAGAATAAAGTATCTACACAATTCAACTCACCACACTGGGTTGCTGATACAAGAACCACAGAATAAAGTATCTACACAATTCAACTCACCACACTGGGTTGCTGATACAAGAACCACAGAATAAAGTATCTACACAATTCAACTCACCAAACTGGGTTGCTGATACAAGAACCACAGAATAAAGTATCTACACAATTCAACTCACCACACTGGGTTGCTGATACAAGAACCACAGAATAAAGTATCTACACAATTCAACTCACCACACTGGGTTGCTGATACAAGAACCACAGAATAAAGTATCTACACAATTCAACTCACCACACTGGGTTGCTGATACAAGAACCACAGAATAAAGTATCTACACAATTCAACTCACCACACTGGGTTGCTGATACAAGAACCAAAGAATAAAGTATCTACACAATTCAACTCACCACACTGGGTTGCTGATACAACAACCACAGAATAAAGTATCTACACAATTCAACTCACCACACTGGGTTGCGGGTTGCTGATACAAGAACCACAGAATAAAGTATCTACACAATTCAACTCACCACACTGGGTTGCTGATACAAGAACAACAGAATAAAGTATCTACACAATTCAACTCACCACACTGGGTTGGCGGGTTGCTGATACAACAACCACAGAATAAAGTATCTACACAATTCAACTCACCACACTGGGTTGCTGATACAAGAACCACAGAATAAAGTATCTACACAATTCAACTCACCACACTGGGTTGCTGATACAAGAACCACAGAATAAAGTATCTACACAATTCAACTCACCACACGGGGTTGCTGATACAAGAACCACAGAATAAAGTATCTACACAATTCAACTCACCACACTGGGTTGCTGATACAAGAACCACAAAATAAAGTATCTACACAATTCAACTCACCACACTGGGTTGCTGATACAAGAACCACATAATAAAGTATCTACAAAATTCAACTCACCACACTGGGTTGCTGATACAAGAACCACATAATAAAGTATCTACACAATTCAACTCACCACACTGGGTTGCTGATACAAGAACCACAAAATAAAGTATCTACACAATTCAACTCACCACACTGGGTTAGGGTTACTGATACAAGAACCACAAAATAAAGTATCTACACAATTCAACTCACCACACGGGGTTGCTGATACAAGAACCACAGAATAAAGTATCTACACAATTCAACTCACCATACTGGGTTGCTGATACAAGAACCACAGAATAAAGTATCTACACAATTCAACTCACCACACGGGGTTGCTGATACAAGAACCACAGAATAAAGTATCTACACAATTCAACTCACCACACTGGGTTGCTGATACAAGAACAACAGAATAAAGTATCTACACAATTCAACTCACCACACTGGGTTGCGGTTTGCGGATACAACAACCACAGAATAAAGTATCTACACAATTCAACTCACCACACTGGGTTGCTGATACAAGAACAACATAATAAAGTATCTACACAATTCAACTCACCACACTGGGTTGAGGGTTGCTGATACAAGAACAACAGAATAAAGTATCTACAAATTTCAACTCACCACACTGGGTTGCTGATACAAGAACCACAGAATAAAGTATCTACACAATTCAACTCACCACACTGGGTTGCTGATACAAGAACCACAGAATAAAGTATCTACACAATTCAACTCACCACACTGGGTTGCTGATACAAGAACCACAGAATAAAGTATCTACACAATTCAACTCACCACACTGGGTTGCTGATACAAGAACCACAGAATAAAGTATCTACACAATTCAACTCACCACACTGGGTTGCTGATACAAGAACCACATAATAAAGTATCTATACAATTCAACTCACCACACTGGGTTGCGGGTTGCTGATACAACAACCACATAATAAAGTATCTACACAATTCAACTCACCACACTGGGTTGCTGATACAAGAACCACATAATAAAGTATCTACACAATTCAACTCACCACACGGGGTTGCGGGTTGCTGATACAAGTTGATGTTGAACGTCCGGTACACGTCTGCTGCCCGGGCATGTCCGTCAATGTCAACATGGGCGTGGAACTCTCCTTGTCCGAAGTCGAAGTCGAGACCACGATTTATCTTCCCCTGCTCCTGTTCGTCGGTCTCCACTGATACGGCACTGAGCGATGTCAAGATTTGGGCAACGCTTTCAAGTATTTCATTAGCCTGGTCTTCATTTTCATTAGTTGTGGGTTTAGAGTTCAACAGCAGTTTAAAACCTGTGTCCCATATAGGAATGGATTTAAGATAAATTAATATATCAATCAAGAAGTAGAAAGTGTAATTTATGTGATCGTTTGATTAATACAAATACAATTAAGTTTTCATACATTACAGTAATTTTCTTAATAACCTTTTGACTGAAATAATGCTCTTAATAGTAATCTAAATATGAAAAATAAATAAATCGTTTTACACAAAAATTTCTTTACTTTAATGTTTATATTTTAACGTTTAGACCTATTTAAAAAGCAAAGTTTAAAATTTAAAAAATTGTAACTTGAAATTGGGATATTTTAACGTGTTTTTAAAAAGAAGAGTTTAAATTTACAAAACAACTTACAAGTTAGATAACTAAAATTACTTCCTTATTTACTGGTTATTTCCCTTTGCCCGTTGCACGAAAAATGATTTCATGAACACAAAAATTGTTAAAAACATTTGGAGACAACTTGTTTTACCTGTTGCCGTTTGCCCTATCAGGACGAGTACAATCAGGAAATTGACAACAAACATCTTGGGATGAATAAACTGTAGGTTAAAACAGGTGTTTTTGTTAGGGGAATGAATATAAAAATCAAAAGTATAGTAAATTTTTCGATTCTAACAGTCCATGGGTCAAGTGGAGTAGAGTTCACCTGTTTTGTGACCTAGGCATATGAGGGGATAGTGTGGTCAGCACTGAGGGTAGTGAACGAGTGAAGGGGGATGAATTGGGGTGAATGTTGTTTGTACTTGGTACCCTGTTCCGTTCGTCCCTGTTCAGTTCTCGTGCTGTAAGTTGTAATAGTCCGGTTTGTACCAGTTTATGAAAGGGTATATAAGGTGTAACTTCTTCTTCTTCGTTCTTAATTTTAGTGTTGGAAGAGATCCCCCGCAAACACAATTAAGGATATGTGTCAACTTATGCGCAATAGAGGCTACTGACTCCGATTTCAGTCTGCTTTTCTTTTTGGATTTGTCCAACCAAGAACAAACTACAAGGAAGCAGTTGTTTGATTTTGGAGTTGTCTCTCCTAGAAGAGTAGCTCATCTGCCCGAGGGTACGAACTAAAGACTTTTCGGTTTAGCAACCATGAGCTTTACCGACTCGACCACGCCGACCCCTTGTAAGGTGTATGAAAACGTGTGTGATCGCCTCAGTTTCGTCCAGATCTCCAAGTTTAGTTTAGGTAGGTTAGTTTTATACTAGTATTTAGCCACTGTATCGTAGTTTACTAGCTTGTGTATTTTGTGTTTAGAATACACTGTGTTAGGTGCAAATTCTGATAGTGTAGATATTAAATTCTTTCAGTTTTAACGAGCCTTTGTTTAATTCAGTCTTGTTTTGTAACCCGTTTGTGGTTGTTTGTCTTATATGTTGCGCTACACATCGTATCACCCCCGTAAGGCGTGCCCGTGTGTTCACAACACTGAGCCATACACTTTCCCCAACGTGAGTTAGGTACCCATCAGAGCTGGGTGGACTCATGGACTAATGACTTGAACACGGATTCGAAATCAAAACTTTCGGGTTAGCAGTCTAGTGCTCTATCGCTAGGACACACCGTCATGTTAAATGAATATGGTATACGAGCTGACCCGCGGCGTATCATACGCCGCTATTTAACTTGTTTTATTTTCTACTTTTCAGTAATTCATAATTTGTGAATTCGACAGTACCAATGCTGCCACTGAAAATACTTGCTTTAAAACACTATCAGATGGTCGTTAAGGACGATACCCCCCCCCCTTGAAAGCAAACTCCTCTTAGTTACCTCCCATAAGTTTAAAATCGTTTCAAACTACATTATCTGCCCCTAATAGCCGTCACTAAACACGGCTCTACGATTGTAAACATTTAGCGTGAACCACAGTTCACCAGACCATGTAGGGGTAGGGGTGGTAGGGAGCGCGCTTACAGCTTGGTGTTTTCTATCGTCTCCAAGAAGAGAATTATATATAGATCTATAGATTATTTTCAAGCTGATATTTGTCAAAACTTATTCCATGTTTTCTTTTACTCCCATACTTCTTCTTATAACACAGCAAAAAATCTCATCTTTTAAATACATTCAAATTAAGTCCCTAAGAAATTGCTAAATAGACAAGAGGTAAAGAAATAATAACGATCACTAAAGTCTAGCAGATTCACGGGTAATACAAAAATAAATAAAAAATGAATGTACGAAAGTTTAAAGAAAAATAATGTTAAAAGCAGCGCCGTTCGTACTATTTAGAATTATGTATGAACAAAATCACAAAAATGAAACAAAAAATTCTCTGTTCGTCTTGCTGCGATCCAAGACTTTCACCTCTAACGCAGCAATACGAATGCCCCCGTTTGATGAAATGCTGTCTGTACTGCTAATGTAGGCATCAATAAAATCACCATAATTATCGCTAAACAAACGACTATCCCTGCCATACGGTACAGTAAACTAGAGGTAACAGGTGTTTAAGTACGAACTTTAACACGGTTTTCTACTTAATTGTAGTCCGCGTGCCAATGTAGAAACCTAACCGAGAACTGTATTTAAGGCTAGGCTTTAAAACAATATACATTCACATAAAATTGTTATAAATAGCATACATATAATTATATATTGAAACCATATTTTTGATATATCCGTGCCTAAATGTTGTTACCGTTATTGATTCTTCTTCTTCTTAATTCTTAATTTTAGTGTTGGAATAGATCCCCTCCAATACAATTTAATATTCGTGTCAACTGGTTATGCGCCATTGACTCCGATTTCATCCTGCTTTTGTTGTTGGATTTGCTTCCTTAGCCTTTGTCTAACCAAGAACAAACCACATTTTGATTTTGGAGTTGTCTCTCAGCTAACGAGCCTCGTCAGCTTTACCGAATCGACCACGCCTACCCCTACCATTATTGAATTGAATAAATACTATGAAATGAATAACTTTACAGACCATTGTATTAAATCATCCTTAATTTGAAAATCAGCTTTACACTGCAGTTTTCTTAAGTACAGTTTTGGATGAAAAGTATTCTTGTCATCAAAATTAAACTGGGAGATGGGATCATAATCCAAGTTCTTGAACTTTTAGCATAGGTTCGTGTTATTTAGCTCAAATTTACTATCGCAGCCTTTTTTCAGAAATTTCGTGTAAAAACCAAATGATAGAGGGTTCTTACAATCATATGAATGCGATAGCACTTTTATACACATAAGCGCGCAGGCTTACACACAAACATACACGTACATACACAAACAATAGTTTGGCGTAGCAATAGACTGACTTACTTCAATGCCTTCAGACTGTTATATTTGACAGTAGACCAGGAATTGGTATTAAAATTAAAGGGCAACAACCCTCAAAGAAGCGTTTATTTTTCAAGACACCAGTTTTTTTTTTGCTTTTTCGCAATTAAGAATATTTTTATTTTTATTTGGTACTACAAGATACACATTTTAACTTTATGTAATTTAGATTCGTTTATTGTTTGCGAATGTGTATGCAATATAAGTATTAACTAACATCAAATTTTATTTTACGAACACCGGTTTCAAAATATATCTTAACAAATATAACTAGCAACCATGTATTATTTATGTAATTAAAGATAATCGTGCACAAGAACTTATATAGGCCTAATTTATAACATTTTGAAGTGGGTTGTTTTTAAAAGAAGGCTACATAATTATGACATTTAAACATGTAAGAAAATCGCAAATGTAAAAGAAAGATTTATTACAAAAGTACTTGATTTAACTTCAAATGTTTAAAATTTTAAAAAATATACACTGTAAGAAATGTATAAATGTTGGTTGGAAACACATAAATAAGCAAACAAAAAATGTTGGAACACTACCAACAAAGTAAACAAACATCGACTCACCGTCTGCTAAAGGGTCTAGCTGATTACACAACTCCAAAGTACTGCCATTTTATTGAAAAGAGCTAAGCCCCTTAATGGTGAATTAATACTCTTCAATTATTCACCAATTACCATTTGAGCTTGCTGGTGTAGAGATTAAACTCTCATTAGACTCCAGCCCCTCTACTGAGCTGGGTGCAACATTTACCGGAGCGTGGCGAGAATTACTTACCCCGCCCAGGCTAAATAGTTCATTCTTTTTGTGACAGCCAGTATGGGTCACGTGATCCCTACCTGGGCAACTGCGCTGTAATAAGGCGTTAGGTCATTGTTCTAATTGCATCATCGATTTGTAATTTTTTTTTTTTTTTTTTTTTTTTTTTTTTTTTTTTTTTTTTTTTTTTTTTTTTTTTTTTGAAAAACAGAAAAACAGAAAAAAAAAAACAAATGAAATGTGGGTTGTTTTTTTTTTGTGCGCTCGAAAAACTATTAGTTAGGAACACAAAATTATCTTAATCAAGTTTCAGTTAGGGAGACACACAGATGCGCTGGGTCAAATTTAATTACGTGACATGCAGTATAACCTGCCGTAGTTTTGAGAATAAAATTATTTTTAAAATGTAGAACACTTTGCAGGTTAAGTAGGTGCACCGTCAAAACGGCCCGTTACAAAAATGACCAAGACAAACTGGCTCTCGTTAAAACTACTCAGTCAAAATAGGGCTCTGTCATACTGACTCGCAACACTAGTCTCCTAGCATATTTGGCTCCCGACAAATATGCTCGCAACATATTGACTCCCGACAAAAATAGGCTACCTCCCGATACATTTGTTCTAGACAAATGAATCGAATGACCACTTTTAACATAGTGCCTCTACATTTAAAATTGATTTTGATAAGGATTCTAACCACCCCTTCCCCACCCCCACCCTCGTGAAGAAAAGTTGTTAAAAAGCATGATGTTAACATGTAACCTGATGGTGGACTTCTATCCCCATACACTGAACTGGAAAAGCCCACAACTGACTCATTCGATGGCGGTCATAACTGAATAACCTATACATTTAAAAACATACTCTTTCTTATACTAGATAAAATAACGTCTTATCGAAAAAAATAATACGAATAGCCTTTCTTATCTTAAGTACAATCTGAACCAAAGAGCTTGTTCACTTAAATAAATAAAGTTAATCTTTATCTTGAAAACTAGAAAAACAGACAGATCCGTTTTGAAGAAACTGGTCTTCATTTGAAATAAACTACTTCATCAATTAAAATAAAATACATAGAACTAAAACGAAAATTGATATGTTTTATTGCTTTAATTTTATTTTTAATATTAAAATCAATGATGAAGTTTTGAGAATTGTTATTCCAGCTTTGGTTTCGTCATCCATATTAGCTTGATTCTGTATTTAGCCAGCTGTCTTAACATCTATTTGATGGAATACATACACATAATTTAAATGTGACAAAGTATAATGTATATCAATCTAATATATAAAGATGAAATGGACTCTGTCACTGTTGCGTATTCGTGACAGCTTGTATACCAGGATTATAGCATTCGTGAGAAAAAGCTCAGGACAAAATTTCTTAGACAAAATATCCCAGACAAAATATATCTCACGGACAAATAATCTCAGGACAAAAGTTCTTAGACAAAATATCTCACGGACAAACAATGTCAGGAGAAATGTTCTTACACACAAAATATAACAAATACAATTTCTCATGAAATATTTTCGCAGGACAAAATGTTCCCAGGACCAATGACCACAGGGAACACCACTACAGTTTTCTAGTTCAAGAACTCTCCAGTCTGCAAATAATCTTTCCTCGCTACGATGTTATACGTTTTGTAATTGAAGATTGTTTTTTACAATCAAAGCTTTTCGCAAAACATCATTATAACAACATTGTAGGTCTGAACGCTAGCTTAAAACGGTATTCACAATTAGAAGTAGTAAAAAGTATTATAGAGTAAAGAATGAAGTCAAAACGTTTTAAGTGTTATGATAATTCATACGCTTAAATTAAGTCTTTGTAGACAATCATTTACAAACGCAAGGCTTAGAAAGATCCTTCAAATATGCTGTACCATTAAAAATAAGTTGCTATAGAGATGGGCAAACTAACAGCAAGCCGAAGAAAAGAACCTTCAGAGAAAATGTAGATAGATTGGTCACATACTCAAGAAACCTGTATTCAGCAAATTACATGAGGCCCTATCTGAAATCACAGGGAAAAAGGAAAGAGGAAAAGCAAGGAAGACCTAGAGACGTGGCCTGGAAGAAGATGTCAAGAAGATTGTATACACCTGTGGACAGCTGGAGAGACTAGCCCAGGACAGAGATGTCTGACACCAAGAAGATTGGATACACCTGGGGACAGTTGGAGAGACTAGCCCAGGACAGGATACACCTGGGGACAGTTGGAGAGACTAGCCCAGGACACCTGGGGACAGTTGGAGAGTCTAGCCCAGGACAGAGATGCCTGACACCAAGAAGATTGGATACACCTGGGGACAGTTGGAGAGACTAGTCTGGATACACCTGGGAACAGTTGGAAAGACTAGCCCAGGACAGGATACACCTGGGGACAGTTGGAGAGACTAGCCCAGGACAGAGATGCCTGACACCAAGAAGATTTTATACACTTTGGGACAGTTGGAGAGACTAGCCCAGGACAGAGATGTTTTACACCAAGAACATTGGATACACCCGATAACAGATGGAGAGACTAGCCCAGGACATAGATGCCTGACACCAAGAGGATTGGATACACCTGGGAACAGTTGGAGAGACTAACCCAGGACAGGATACACCTGGGGACAGTTGGAGAGACTAGCCCAGGACACCTGGGGACAGTTGGAGAGACTAGCCCAGGACAGAGATGTTTGACATCATGAAGACTGGATACACCTAACCGAACTTAAACTTACTATCACAAGTCCGCTTTACAAGAGCATGCATACTGTAATCTAGAAGACTGTAGCTTGTGGCTTTGATCACGTTGTCTTTAGAACTCGCCATGCCTTCCAATTCGGACTGTGAGATATCTTGGCTAATTCCAACCGTAAGTATCAAAGTGCCCTTTACTTTTAACTTGGTTGCCTCTTCGAGAGCTAAATTAAAATTTGGTATGCACATTTAAGAAATCCATTTGTTGAGGTGATTATAGTTTAAAAAAAAAATTAATAGCAAAATTTTGTAGTGGTCAAAAGCACAAAGATATACTTAGGCAGATTTTCAAAACAGTGCTGATACTCAATTTTTATATCATACAAAGCAGGATGCATTTTTCTATTATTTATGGCAAATTGTTAAACTGCATTGCATAAGAATCTAACCATTCTGAGATTCATTTTCAAATTTACAATTCATCCGTGAATCGATTTTGAGAAATTTTTGGTAATCATGCATTACTGTGTAGATCTCGTAAAAAAGAAAGCTTTCTTTTATACTACAAAAAAAATTACTACCAAGCTAAGAAAGCATATACACGTTTTGAAAACAGTTTAGAAAATTACGATATGGTCTTTTAGAACCAGTTTTGTGAGGAGAAAAAAAAGAACACAATTTTTCGATCGATTTTGAAACAAGTACAAACCTTTTTTATCCTCAGTAGCATACCCGTCCGTCATAACGATTACAAGGTGAGGAATGCCATCCCTCCCACCTGCCTCAGTGCCAAACATGTTCTTATCTGTTATAAGGGCCAGTGCCAAATCAGTTCGAGTACCTTCGATTCCAGGGTAAGGAATTGCCAGTAGAGCCTGAAGTTTGAAACAAAATGTGTTTTTTAATACGCTTCATCTTGATTCAAGTTTTAGGGAAGAATGAACGTAGAACAAAATATAGGGGAAGGCGTTGTTGGATATCCTGAAGTTTGAAACAAAATGTGTTTTTTAATACGCTTCATCAGGATTCAAATTTTAGGGAAAAATGAACGTAGAACAATAAAGAGGGAGGCGTTGCTATATATCCTGGGCAGATGAAGCTCATTAGAGGAAACAGTAACACATCTAGGAAAGAAGGCTCCAAAGTTAAAGAACTGCTGGATTGTAATTTTTGTTGACGGATGAAGTATTTGTATTTACAAATAATGCAAACTGAAATCGGAGTCAATCAGCTATATTGCGCAGAACTACTTGACACATAATATCTTGTTGGAGGATATCCAGTCCATCATTATAATTAAAAACGAAGAAAAAAGAAGATTCATATACAAAAATATATGACATATTTTATTTTAAAAAATAATTAAAAGTACTATTTAAAACGCAGACCTTTTCCAAAGGATTTTATTCGTGTGGTCTTTAAGGTCAAATTGTTTTATAGGTCTTCGGTTAAAAACTTTCATTTACAATAATACACCTCATATTAAATGACAAATTTTACAAAAACACTTCTAAAAACGAATTAAAGCGCAGACCTTTTCTAAAGATTTTTGACTCGTGTAGTCTTTCAAATCAAACTCTTTTACAGGAATCCGGTTAAAAGTGATGGCGGCAAACCTGACACGATTTTGTTGGACGTCAAAGTACTTGGTGATGTTGGCGGCCATCTGCGTCTGGTAGATCCAGTTGTTGGCGCCTATGCTGGTGGAGGCGTCCATCACAAGGATAATGTCAGCCCTGTTCCCCAGCACACAGGGCTTAGGGGTGGAGGGAGGGTAGGGTGGTCGGGTGGTGCTGCAAGAATTAGGTTACACATTTTTATAGGAATCACATTTAGCATTATATTTTACATATATACATGCATATATATATATATATATATATATATATATATATATATATATATATATATATATATATATATATATATATATATATATATTTATTTATTTATTTATTTATATTTATATTTATATTTATTATACTTATACTTATATATATATATATATATATATATATATATATATATATATATATATATATATATATAAATATAAATATATATATATATATATATATATAAATATACATATATATATCATACTTAATTAAACTATATATATATGCTTATATATATATATATATATATATATATATATATATATATATATATATATATATATATATCATACATAAACTATATATATATATTTCATACATAAACTATATATATACATATACATATATATTTAAATATATAAATACATATATATATATATATATATATATATATATATATATATATATATATATATATATATACTTTATACAAGCATGATTTCAACTTACTTGTTTTGGTTGTCGTCGTCGTCGTCGACGTCGTCGTTGTCGTTTTTTTCGTTGTCTGTGTCGTCTTTGGCGTAGTGGTTGTTGTTGCTGTGAAACATAATTATAAAGATTATCTTTTATTGTATAATTGTATCAGTGGTAGTAATTATGGAGACATTTTATTTATTTTTCCCCTTTCCTTAAAAATTTTTTTTTTGCAATTCTAACAAAACATAATAATACATGCTCGTTCTTTTTTTTTAACCTTTCTTCATTAATCGCTGAAGTGTAACTCTATTGTGTTTAAGAGTTTAAGAGCTTTGATGTTCATTATGGTGTTTATATTTAACTGTCGATTTTTACGGAAACGAATATACACATTATCGTATCTTCTGAGAGTTATGTATTAGCATTTTTTTTTTATTTTACTCGTCAAAAAGTAAAAAACCATAACTTCTTCTTCTTCGTTCCTAGTTCAAGTATTGAAAGAGATTCACTCCTACACAGCTAAATATTAAGTCAACTTTAATGCGCCTTATAGGTCGTTGACTCTACTGCCGTCATCCAACCAATAACAAACTTCAGGGAAGCAGTTATTTGATTTTGGAGGCGTCCCAGCTAGTGAGCCTTATCTACCCGGGGTTTCGAACTCGGGAAATTTAAATTCAGTAATCATGAGCTTAACCGACCTGACCACGCCAAACCCCTGATGCCTTATCATCTTTTGAACGTCTTAACATCAATATTCAATTTGATCTCTTTAAATTATTTTTACTTAACAAAAACTTGATGGAAAACATTACCACTATTCACGTTAGACTGATTGGGATAACCAAGAGCATTCAGTAGTTTTGAAACAGACAGTTGAACATGGACGTTGCCGCTTTGAGAAGGTGAGTTCGAATCATTAGGGCACGGTGATTGGGATCCAACTTGTGCGTTCTGTGCCTTCATGCCTTGATCCGTGGCTTGCTTGTCGTCACAGTTCTTCGGGAAAGTTTGCGTTTCACTGATTTTCAGATGTATGTTAATTTCAAAATCTGTGTAACAAGATCGAGAAAAAATCAATTTTCGGTTGTATATCAATTATAAAATTTGTGTAACATGATCGATAAAAAAAATTCAGTTGTATGTCAGTTATAAAATCTGTGTTACAAGATCGAGAAAAAAAAGAATTTTCAGTTGTATGTCAGTTATAAAATATGTGTAACAAGATCGAGAAAAAACAACTTTCAGTTTATGTCAGTTATAAAATCTGTGTTACAAGATCGAGAAAAAAAAACAATTTGCAGTTGTATGTCAGTTATAAAATATGTGTTACAAGATCGAAAAAAAAAACAATTTGCAGTTGTATGTCAATTATAAAATCTGTAACACTATCGAGAAAAAAACAACAATTTACAGTTGTATGTCAATTATAAAATCTGTAACACGATCGAGAAAAAAAACAATTTACAGTTGTATGTCAATTATAAAATCTGTAACACGATAGAGAAAAAAACAATTTTCGGTTGTATGTCGATTATAAAATCTGTGTACAAAGATCGAGAAAAAAATTGTATTTAAAAGAAAAATACCCTTCGTTGTGTTATGATGATAAGGGTAGTTTTTTTAGCGCAATTACCATTCTGGAGAATTGCGTTTATTAACCCGTCATTTCTGGATGTATGAATGTATGGATGAATGGATGGATGGATGGATGGATGTGTGTCCGCAGTTTAAAGTCGCATCTCCTCCTCAACGAAGCAATATAATAATGTTATGATGATAAGGGTAGTTTTTTTTTTTTTAAATATACGTTTACGTAAAAATTATAAAACAATATAAATAGACTACGTTTCAAAAGATATAAACTATGTCTTAAGATGTAATCATCATCTTTTCCCGTTCATGCCTAAGACACATGGGCAGATGAAGTAGAGTTTATCTGTTTCAGATTACCGCGGCATATGAAGGGGTATTGTGGTCAGCACTTTGCCCAGCTTATTGTGTTTTCCCTAATGTGAGTTTGTGTAATAGTGACAAATATTGGTTGCAAACTTGAATTTAAAATATTAAATAAAAGTCCAATTTAATAGCATATATCTAAAGCAAGAATAGTTTTTCTTACATTGTCTTTTTTTTAGTGTACGTAAATATGTGTATTTTTTTCTTAAAATTGTTTTAATACTGTTTTTAGTAAAATTACAAAAGCATAAGAATAATCAAATTTTAAGAAAAAAACACAAGTTGTTTCATTACGGCACTTCGGGTTAAAAAGGTAGTTGATGTAAAATAGATGAAAACTAAAAAGAAAATGATATTACGTATATTAACGTTCGTTTTAGTTCTAATATTTGTATCTTTAACACCAGCTCACCTGACCGAGTATCAACCTTTTGCTATTACTTACAGTAATTCGTAAATATATTTTTTTAATGTAATAATGTTTATAATTTTGTGTTGTCATCGAAAATTCGCACGTCCGAAATGTTTCAAATAAACATCTCAATTAGATACCCCTATACATCACGCTTTTACTATTTATTATAGTAGTCCTTAAAAAAGTAAATGCATCGATTAATCAAATGTGAAAATTGATATATTAATATAGTGTTGTTGCAGATTAGCACGTATGGAATGTTTGAAATAAATATATGAATTAGAAATGGCTCAAAGTTGAGATGCAAAATTTAACGACAAATATACATTGAATAAAAAAATCATTGAACCCCAAGAATTGGGTCGTAACGTAAAAATAACTCCAACGGCATATATGCAGTATCAAATATTTGACTCTTTTATTTAGACACAACACAAACTAAAATATGACAAAACACAGAAGACAACATTCATATTGTTCCTTGATGGTATTAAAAAAAAACAAAAAAAACAAAACAAGACAACTCATAGATTGACATGCGTGTGATTTCATGTAACCAATAGGGCTTGTAAGTCTACGGTCTCGAAATCTACTAGCTGGCAAGTACGAGAACGAGAAGTTGTGACCTACTTACAAGCCCTATTCCTGAAGTGATTTAATGGCTACCTGTTCGACCTTGACCGACCAACATTAGAGCGAGCAACAACAAGATTAACATTATCGGCGAGGCTTGATGCTGAAAATAAAGACACAATCATTATTTTTATTATTTTTTTTTTAAAGTCTCGAGTTCGAACCCCCGGGCAGATGAGGCTCGTTAGCTGGGGACAGCCACTCTTCTAGGAGAGACAACTCCAAAAATTAAACAACTGCTGCCTTGTAGTTTGTTCTTGGTTGGACAAAGGCTATGGAAGCAAATCCAAAAAGAAAAAGCAGGCTGAAATCGGAGTCAATGGCCTCAATGGCGCATAACCAGTTGACACGTAACGCTTAATTGTGTTGGAGGCGTGGTCGAGTCGGCAAGAAGCTCATGGTTGATAAATTCGAACAGTCTCGAGTTCAAACGCTTGGCAGATAAATCTCTATCCCCTTCAACACTAATAATTAAGAACGAAGAAGAAGAAGAAGAAGAAGATTATTTTTATCATTATAAAAGGACGAGTCACATGAGCAGGGATGCTAGTTGTAAGACGGAGGCTCTTGGTGAATACTTAAAACGTAACACATAGACGATAAGAAACAAAGGAAGCTATAAATTGCTTGAACAAAGTACAAATAGGTCAATGCTCTTAGATTTAACCCTTTTATGGTACTTATATGTACCACTTTAGTTAAGCTCATGTATTATTTTTAATCTAAGTTGAATTTTTAAATTTATTGATGTAATAAATAGTATTATCTCCCTTGAGTATCCGGTAGTTTCAGTTTCTTTCTGTATCAGTAGTTCACAGTTATGCTGTACAGATCTCACACATGTTCTTTATTTTGCTTCGTTTTACTTTAATATTCAACTTTTCTAGCCCAAATATTTTCATTGGCCTACCAATATCTATTTTAACCATAAAAAATTAACGAGACTAAATTTCCTTCGACTTATGCTTTAAGTGTGCCAAAAAAAATATAGTAACATATTTTTAAAGACGAAATATCATTCAGAAATTAATTTCGAAAATAAAGGGTTAAATGATGTTAATCAACAATGCATGTCAACAAATCGTGTAAAGCGAATCAGTTTGGGTAGGGATTTAAATCGTTCAAACTATAACATAACGAGTAAGAATCTAAATAACGGTATCTTTCTACACGTTTAAGTAACGCTGTTTTTTTTTGTTGCTCTGACTGTATATGGAAATTAGTGTAAAATATTAATTAACTGCTAATTAATTATTCCCAAGGTATTCGCCTCTTAAGGTCGTTAGTCCTAACCCAGATAGTCACACCTACATCATCGCCGAAATGAAGTACTTGTCTCCTTTTTTATCCTATGTTACGGTAACACATTACTTCAGAGTAAAAGCATAAAGTAACAGGTTGCCGCGTATAGACCTATACGTTTTATGACTAGCCTTTGACATACCATGGGGTACAGACATATTTCGTATTGTGTGTGTGTGTGTGTGTTCTGAATTGAAATTTCTACTTTAGCAAAAGTAATCATGTGATATAGATCGTCATATATTACATTCAACATTTGGTTTTGTATCTTAATACACGATTTGTTTATTATAAAGTCAAAAAATAATTTTTCTGAAAAATTAAATATATTTGCGTATTTTAAGAACGGCGTGGTAGGGCGGTAGAGCGAATGGGTTGCTTAATGTCCCAAGATTTGATCTCAGGGTTAATGAGAATATTGGTCTATCACTACCGATCCATCTTGGAGAATAAACTACTAAAATTCAAAGAAGAGCTGCTTAGCAGATTATTATTTAGATGACAACGTTGATGAATTCAAATCCAGATAGAATCGAAGGCTGAAGTTGGAGTTACCATTCAAATGGCGCATAAAATGTTGACACTAGTTTAGGAAACCACATCGTGTATGCCTCTTAAAAAAAGAGAAGCAGTTTATCTTTTTCATAAATGGAAACTCTACTTACATGATGATGATATGAATGTTATAGCTCCAAAGATATATGTATCAGTACCACAGTTAACAGTGTAGTCTATCTAACCTGCTCGGGAAATGATCAAACCAAAATCTAATTAAGAACATGATAATCTCACTATTTGTATCCCCAGGATTTATTCGAGTTACGAGTGCAAAGCGCGTCGGATTTGCATGGTGTATAATAGCTAGATAATTCGTAGAGATTTAATTTAATTTAATAAAACAGCGGTTCCAAAACTGTGCAACCGGTTATTTCGGGTAAGCAGACCGGATTTAGAACGAAAGTGGAGCATATTTTTATTTTTTATAAATCAAAGAAAAGATTACAATTATAAAATAAAATAAAAGTTCTATTTATTTTTTAAAAGTGTATAATTAGGTTTACAAACAAATAAATTATTTTAAAAATTTGAGATGCATTTAAAATGTATCTAGATAATTCGCAAAGCTAAAAGAGTACAATACTGAATGTAAGGATAAACTTAACCGAGGTAAAGACATGATACACACCATGTTGCCTACATGCAGGGAACGACGAGAAATTACATTTTCCAATAACTGGAGTGATCTGAGATGGATTAATGAGAACAAATAAAATGATATATTACTACCCACATGTATGCGAACAAAGGCTTGAGGAAATAATGCGCATAAACATGGCATTGAATGGAGAAGTCGTCGTGTAAGCTGAGGCTATGAGCGAGAAACATGACGTGTTTAGGGTAAGGATTAGATGAAGAAATGTGAGGTGGTTAGGGTAAGGATTAGTTGGAGAAACATGAGGTATGTAGGGTAAGGATTAGATGAAGAAACGTAAGGTGGTTATGGTAAGGATTAGATGAACAAATGTGAGGTGGTTAGGGTAAGGGCTGGATGAACAAACGTGAGGTGGTTAGGGTAAGGATTAGATGAAGAAACGTAAGGTGGTTAGGGTAAGGATTAGAGAAACGTGAGGTGGTTAGGGTAAGGGTTAGATGAACAAATGTGAGGTGGTTAGGATAAGGATAAGATGAACAATTGTGAGGTGGTTAGGGTTAGGGTTACATGAACAAATGTGAGGTGGTTAGGGTAAGGATTATATGAACAAATGTGAGGTGGTTAGGGTTAGGGTTATATGAACAAATGTGAGGTGGTTATGGTTAGGATTAGAGAAACGTGAGGTGGTTAGGGTAAGGATTAGTTGAGAAATTTGAGGTGGTTAGGGTAAGGATTAGACGAACAACGCGAGATTGTTAGGGTTAGGATTAGATCAAGAAACTTGACATGTTTAGGGTTAGGATTAGATCAAGAAACTTGACATGTTTAGGGTTAGGATTAGATCAAGAAACTTGAGATGTTTAGGGTAAGGATTAGATCAAGAAACTTGACATGTTTAGGGTTAGGATTAGATCAAGAAACTTGACATGTTTAGGGTTAGGATTAGATCAAGAAACTTGACATGTTTAGGGTAAGGATTAGATCAAGAAACTTGACATGTTTAGGGTTAGGATTAGATCAAGAAACTTGACATGTTTAGGGTTAGGATTAGATCAAGAAACTTGACATGTTTAGGGTAAGGATTAGATCAAGAAACTTGACATGTTTAGGGTAAGGATTAGATCAAGAAACTTGACATGTTTAGGGTAAGGATTATATCAAGAAACTTGACATGTTTAGGGTTAGGATTAGATCAAGAAACTTGACATGTTTAGGGTTAGGATTAGATCAAGAAACTTGACATGTTTAGGGTTAGGATTAGATCAAGAAACTTGACATGTTTAGGGTTAGGATTAGATCAAGAAACTTGACATGTTTAGGGTTAGGATTAGATCAAGAAACTTGACATGTTTAGGGTTAGGATTAGATCAAGAATTTTGATATGTTTAGGGCAAGGATTCGATAAAAAAACTTGACATGTTTAGGGTTAGGATGTGTAGAATGTCTGATGTTGTGGTGAAGTATGGGGAAGAAACTTCACGTGGTTAGGGTTAAGGTAAGTTAGCTGTCCTGTATGTTGTGATCCATTTGGCTAAAACATCACCGTTATTCCAGAACAATCTTCAAGGATACAATTAATCGACGTCAGACAGAGGAAGCAAGTTAAATAAAAGCTTGTAAAATAGTAAAGAGAATAAAAGTAATTAACCCATATTCTGCTAGCGTCCCACTTATGGGACGCTTGGTAAAAAAATTGCTAAAATTTATTAAATACTAGTTAAAACACAAATTATGTTTCATTGTATTTGAAAATGGCTAAACTATTGAATTTGTGTGTGTTTTGTGAAAAAAATTAATTTAGAAAAATGTTATAGTGCCGGATTTGCAGGACTTGTCAAAATGGCGGAAAAAAGAAAACATGCGCACAGGATAATGCATATCTTCTAAAATATTAACATTTTAAGTGCAAAATACATTTGAAACTTGTAGCAGTACCATATTTCTATCTGATAAAAATTTAAAAATAACAATTTTTTTTTACTACTTCGTTATATCAAGTGTACAACAAGCGTCCCATAAGTGGGACGCTAGCAACGAATGGCCCCATGTAGATTGTTACACAAACGTCACATTTATTGGACACTAGCGAGAAACAAAGATGCAAATGTTTATGTTAAATGGTTATTTATGGTGAAACAATTGTTGACTTTGTTAACTGCTGAATTTGGGGTGTTAAGTAGTATGTATAGATATTTAATTATGACCTTGACCTATATTTATGCAGATTGTTACACAAACGTCACATTTATTGGACACTAGCGAGAAACAAAGATGCAAATGTTTATGTTAAATGGTTATTTATGGTGAAACAATTGTTGACTTTGTTAACTGCTGAATTTGGGGTGTTAAGTAGTATGTATAGATATTTAATTATGACCTTGACCTATATTTATGCAGATTGTTACACAAACGTCACATTTATTGGACACTAGCGTGAAACACAGATGCAAATATTTATGTTAAATGGTTATTTATGGTGAAACAATTGTTGACTTTGTTAACTGTTGACTTTGGGGTGTTAAGTAGTATTTATAGATATTTAATTATGACCTTGAGCTATATTTTCTTATATATTATTGTATTAGAAAATTGCAAATATTGAAAAAATTACATTTTATTTTTAAGTTTTCAGAATTACACTTACTGAAGTATTTAATACCATTGAATACAAACTAATTTAGTATTGCTGTAAATTTACTAGCGCGTGATATTAAAATTATAACAAACCAGAATAATAACAATGGCCACGTTTTAGGTGAAATGATTCAGTCATGGGGGTTGGTTAACTCTCTTCATATAAGAGGGCTTAAGCTACATATAGCAGAAATGTGAATTAGCTGTGTACAGTTGTCATGCCCCAATAATATCCCCCTCCAAAGGTTACCGATACCAGCTTTACTTTGTTAACTTTTTAAGGAGATTCCTGGTGTTAGATTGGGAGCTGTTCGCATAGTGAGGTGCATACATGGATGAGAGCCATGAACACTCAATACAAGCCCCCAGAGACGGATCCGTGCCCTAGAAATAAGATGTCTGATGTCCTAATGTACGCCTGTGGGGGGGGGGGATAGCGAGGGTAACAAAAGAGAAGATGGCTGGATGACATCTGGGACTGGACCGGAACATCTTTTGCACTCTTTTTTCACTAAGGGCAGAGTTTCTTTCAGGCATCATTTCGGATGAGGGGGGGGGGGGGGGGCTCTGTCCCCAGAAGAAATTGGAATTTATATACAAAACATACTTTTGCCAATGTCCACCCTTCCCCTGAAATTTAAGTCCCCACCCCTGAAAATTTCATGTACGCCCCCCAAAAAAATCAATTGTTTATATTTAATTATATTACAGTTTCGATGAATAATAACAATATTTGTGATCATGTGTGTATAATTAGATGTACTAGTCACAGCTTTACTTATTTCCAAGTGTTGTTCACTTTGATGGATGCTAGATTGAAAGAAAACTAGACTTTTGAACAAAATTTCTGCATTTTAGACCATGGTATGGCTAACCCAATTGATCATTATCAGTATTTTTAGCTGTCCTAAACAATTAAATCATTGGTCTAACAATACAAAATCAGTACACAGCTTAATTTTCGCGTGATTAACCATATTTCGTGAAAAATGATTTTATTTTTCAATAAATGTACATGGGGCCGTTCGTTGCTAGCGTCCCATTTATGGGACGTTTTTTAAAAAATCGATATTTAAAAAAGTATTGATTTTAAAAAAAAATCCATAGTCATTCCTTCATTCAGTGCCCAAAAGCTAAACCATATCAAAAAATTATAAAAATTTGAGACCTTGGGATAATATGGGTTAAATGCATTTTTATTGTATGGGGGTAGTTTAATTGGGAATAACTCTACAATTTAATTTTGTATTAATATATATTTTTTATGTTAAATAAAATCAGATGACAATAATAATGTAATAACTCAACAAACTCTCTCTCTCTCTCTCTCTCTCTCTCTCTCTATATATATATATATATATATATATATATATATATATATATATATATATATATATATATATATATATATATATATTTTTTATCTGTGTGTGTAAATACGATAACTTCAGTATCCTTTCAGGGTTCCAATGACAAACTATTTCAGGACAAATTATCTCAGGAAAAATTATCTCAGGACAAATGATCTCAGGACAAATGATCTCAGGACAAATGATCTCAGGACAAATGATCTCAGGACAAATGATCTCAGGACAAATGATCTCAGGACAAATAATCTCAGGACAAATGATCTCAGGACAAATGATCTCAGGACAAATGATCTCAGGACAAATGATCTCAGGACAAATGATCTCAGGACAAATGATCTGAGGACAAATGATCTGAGGACAAATGATCTCAGGACAAATGATCTCAGGACAAATGATCTCAGGACAAATGATTTCAGGACAATGATCTTTGGACAAATGATCTCAGGACAATGATCTCAGGACAAATGATCTCAGGACAAATGATCTCAGGACAAATGATCTCAGGACAAATGATCTCAGGACAAATGATCTCAGGACAAATGGTTACAGACTAAATATCCAGACAAAAGATCCCAGATAAAATATCTCACGGACAAGCGTTCTCAAGACAAATAATCTCACGGACAAATAATATCATGACAAAATATATCAGGACAAATAATATCATAGACAAATTATCTCAGATTAAATATCTCACAGGAAAATTAGATTGTATGCGCATGTGCGAATCGACATTTAAACGATTTCAAATAGACAAAGCAACGTGACATCAAATAGAATTAATTGTATGCTTAATGAATTTGCATTATTAATTAATTAAGACATCATATATACATTACATTTTTTTGTGCAAATTGGTTATTACATTGGAATTAGCTATATTTTGTTTTTTTTATTATCCGAAAGTTTCTTTCAGACATTTTTCTTTAGAAGGGGGGGGGGGCACTTAAAACTTCCGACGGGCGGGGATCGGGTGCGGAAAAAATGTCAGTGGTGGGCGGACACTACTTAGAGTTTAAATATATATATATATATATATATATATATATATATATATATATATATATATATATATATATATATATATATATTTGTATATATATATATATATATATACATACATATATATATATATATATATATATATATATATATATATATATTTGTATATATATATATATATATACATACATATATATATATATATATATATATATATATATATATATATATATACATAAATATATATACATATATATGTATATATATATATATGTATATATATATATATATGTATATATATATATATATTTATATTTATGTAATATATATATATATATATGTATATATATATATATATATATATTTATATTCATATTTATGTAATATATATATTCAGTGGCGTAGCGAGGCCCTGTGCGGCACTTAATGGTGTCACCCTCCCAGAGGCGTAGCGACCCTTCGCGGCGCCCGTGGACAAACTTTCAATTTCCCATTTGCACCAGCCTCAAACTTTCGATTTGCACCTCTTAAAAGACTTTTTAACACTCGAATTAATCACTTAATTAAGTGGAATTATAATTTTTCTCTATATTTTGCTATTTTTTGCCTTGGTATCACCCCCTAAATGGTGTCACCCGGTGCAGTCCGAACCCCCCCCCCCTCGCTACGCCACTGTATATGTATTAAAATATATTCTTTTTTGTTATGGTGGGAGATAGAGACTGGGTCATGCCTCGGATGAGGTGGGGGTAGGGGCACTGATGAAGTTCACATGTGTATGTCATCTCGGCTTATAAAGAATACTGTTGTGATCGCTATTCCCAAACGCCTTTACTTTTCCTAACGTGATTGAGGTACCCATCAGACATGCTTGGGTGGATGCAGGGACGTCCTTTGCAGTCAAGCGTGTGATTTGAACTCTCTCGTGAGTGTTGCTATTAATGCATAGATGTCAAATGACAGGTTTTGTTTACTGTATTGTTAGTTTGCTCAGAAAACTTATTAGGGTTAACTAACGATTGTAATATTGTATACGAGCCGACCCGCGGCATATCATACGCCGCTATTTAGTTGTTTTATTTTCTATTTTTCAGTAAGTCATAATTTGTGAATTCGACAGCACCAATGCTGGCACTGAAAATATTTGCTTTAAAACACTATCAGTAGGTCGTTAAGGACGATACTACCCCCACCCTCCTTCCCCCAACCCCTACCCTAACCCCCCCCCCCCCCCATGAATCAGCCTCCTCTTAGTTACCTCCCCTAAGTTTAAAATCGTTTCAAACTAAATTATCTGCCCCTAATAGCCGTCACTAAACCCGGCTCTACGATTGTAATGTAAACATTTATCGTGAAACACAGTTCACCAGACAAAGTAGGAGTGGGGTGGTATGGAGCGCGCTTACAGCTTGTTTTCTAGCGTCTCCAGGAAGAGAATTATATATATAGATGGGTCAGTGTTATGCCGGGGTTTTTAATGCTATATATCAGTTATGTTCAGTCATGAGAATACGATATAACATATTCTTTCTCTGAGGATCGCCTCTTCTTATATATGCCTGGTACAGTTTGTGGAATCACACAAAAGTCCAATTCAAGATAATAAGAATATTCTTTATTTACACATGGCGCCCGCGGGCACGGGGTTGGGAACCCCTGCTCTACATCTTTCCTCTAGCGCTACCTATCTCTAACTGCTGACCCACGCTTCAGTGGTCACCTGACCGTCTCACGTGACCGGCCATCTCCTGCAATTCTATTGGTCCACCTGACTAGGCTATTCTCTGTTTCTGCTTTCACCTGCTTGACCGCTATGACGTATAACTAGAGTCATCACAGTCAGCTTATTATGTCTCAGTTACATTCATATATGTCTTCAAGAATTATTAGTGACTTTGTATTTTTTTAAACACCGTTGTGTAAAATTGTATCTACATTCCAAATGTGTTAAATCAACGGTAAAGTGTTCAATCTATAACATTTTTGTAATTTTGAATGATAGGCGATACATTTTGGTTACCCTGTGACATTACTAACGATATAGCCATGTTGCATTTTCTATCTTTGCACTGTCGTACTTTCCAAATGCGTGGTGTAAAGGATTAGATTAGTATGGAAAAAAAAAGATTACTTAAATATGGCTGACGTGTTGTGAAAATTAATTATATCATATTACAGTTTATACCTTAAAGATTTGTGTCGTTAACAGAACGCTGGTCTAAAACTTCTTCTTCTTCTTTTCTTCGTTCTTAATTATTAGTGTTGAAGGGGATCGAGATTTATCTGCCAGTGGTTTTGAACTCGAGACTTTGTTCGAATTTATCAAACATGAGCTTTTTGCCGACTCGACCACGCATCCAACACAATTAAGCGTTACGTGTCAACTGGTTATGCGCCACTGAGGTCATTGAATTCAGCCTGCTTTACTTTTTGGATTTGCTACCATAGCCTTTGTCCAACTAAATACAAACTACAAGGCAGCAGTTGTTTAATTTTGGAGTTGTCTCTCCTAGAAGAGTGACTGTCCCCAACTAACGAGCCTCATCTGCCCGAGGGTTCGAACTCGAGACTTTTCGGTTCAGCAACCATGAGCTTAATCGAATGGGTTGACCTCCTCAATTAATGAACCTCCTTAATTAGTGTTCAGGGGACGGAGTGGTCTAGCGGTAGAGATCCGTAAATCTCGAGTTCGAATCTGGGTTAAAGTCAGTAGACCGTCCTGAGTCCACCATACTCTGATGGGTACCTAACTCACGTTGGGGAAAGTAAAGCGGCTGGACATAGTGCTGACCACACTATCCCTCCATATGCCGAGGTCACATAAACAAGTAAACTCTACTTCACCAGCCCTATAGATCGTCAGGTTTGAAAGGGAACTTTTACTTTCCTTTTAATAAGTGTTCCATATATCGAAAAAACAAACTAAAACGAAGATTGATTATTATATTTTTAATGCAATGCGTTTACTTTTAATTGTAATTTAAAGTGCAGTGTTAAAATCCCCATTAGAGTTATAACCGCCATCCGCACTTTTGTCAGCTTTCGCATTCTTTACTGCTTATGTGCACCTGAAGTACAAAGTAATGGATAATTAAATACATTTTTTTTAATAAAAAAGATACGATATAAACATTTTTTTTACAGTAAAGTTCTTACGCTAAGTAATATGTGTTGTTTTTTTTTTTTTTAATTTTTCTTTATATCATAGATGGCTTAGTGTTCTGAACAAATGAAACTATATTTAGTAATTTACACATACATTAAACTATAAATTTTGGTTAATTTATGTAGCTACATTTACACAAAGTCAGTGGTGATTGGAGAATAAGAAAAATGCGGGTTGAGTTGGTTGTGGGTTGGTTGTGGATTGGTTTAATAATTGAGACGTGAAATGGTTTCGTTTTGTTGGTTGGGTTGGTTGTGGGTTGGCTAATTTACTGAGACGTGAAACGTATATTTGATGGTTGGGTTGGTTGTGGGTTGGCTAAATTACTGAGACGTGAAACGTATATTTGCTGGTTGAATTGGTTGTGGGTTGGCTAAATTACTGAGACGTGAAACGTATATTTGTTGGTTGGGTTGGTTGTGGGTTGGCTAATTTACTGAGACGTGAAACGTATATTTGATGGTTGGGTTGGTTGTGGGTTGGCTAAAGTACTGAGACGTGAAACGTATATTTGATGGTTGGGTTGGTTGTGGGTTGGCTAAATTACTGAGACGTGAAACGTATATTTGTTGGTTGGGTTGGTTGTGGGTTGGCTAATTTACTGAGACGTGAAACGTATATTTGTTGGTTGGATTGGTTGTGGGTTGGCTAAATTACTGAGACGTGAAACGTATATTTGATGGTTGGGTTGGTTGTGGGTTGGCTAATTTACTGAGACGTGAAACGTATATTTGTTGGTTGGGTTGGTTGTGGGTTGGCTAAATTACTGAGACGTGAAACGTATATTTGATGGTTGGGTTGGTTGTGGGTTGGCTAAAGTACTGAGACGTGAAACGTATATTTGATGGTTGGGTTGGTTGTGGGTTGGCTAAAGTACTGAGACGTGAAACGTATATTTGATGGTTGGGTTGGTTGTGGGTTGGCTAAATTACTGAGACGTGAAACGTATATTTGTTGGTTGGGTTGGTTGTGGGTTGGCTAATTTACTGAGACGTGAAACGTATATTTGTTGGTTGGATTGGTTGTGGGTTGGCTAAATTACTGAGACGTGAAACGTATATTTGCTGGTTGGGTTGGTTGTGGGTTGGCTAAATTACCGATATATAAACGATTTTGTTCCGATGTGGGCTGGTTGTGAGTGTGCCAGTTCAAAGATAAGGAAAACATCAGGAAACAAGTTACTTGAAGATAAGCAAGGAAAGATGAAACGTGCTTCAGATATTAAATAATTTGAAGTTGAAAAGAAGTGTACACAGCTTTTAGATAACAGTAGCAAAAAAAAGAAACGAATAGCAAATGTTTTAGAAAAGTGGAAGTGGAACAGAGAAGTAAATACTATTTCTATAAATGTTAATAGAACAGAGTAGTGTATAAATAAACGTTATAAGAACAAAAACGTGTGGCAAACAAAGAGATCAAAGCCAGGGTCATTTCTTATTAAAACCTTATACAGGAAGAAAATTAGTTGAAATGATTGAACAAACTCCTGAGCAAATTTGGCGACAGTATAGGTTTAAAGATGTAACATAACACTCTAGTCTACGTACATGTTCTGTTGACGAGAGCTTGCATGCTGTAATCCAGCAAGTTGTAATCCAGTGCCATTAAGACGTTCTCTTTAGAAGAGGCTATTACTTCCAGCTCATTTTCGGAAATGTCATCACCAATCCCAACAGCTAATATGAAGATTCCTTTTTTTTTTAATCTACTTGCTTGTTTCGAGGCTAAAATAAATAACAAACTTGAGGCGTTGGTATGTTTATTTTTTGAAAATATATTTTCAAACCGGTTCTTAGAAATTGAGTTTTTTTTTTTCAATTCCTGTTAAAATTGATGGCAAGTCATTTTGCGAATAGCACAATTCTATTGAAATACACATGACTTAGGAAAGATCTAAGCGGGAGTGAGATCCCTTGAACTTTCTCGTATATTCCTATTTATATCTAAAGGTTGGTGTTCGTGCCCAAGACAACAGAGGAAGATGAAGTAGAGTTAATCTGTTTCACGGACTTCGGCATATGTAGGGGTATGAAATCTACTTCATCTGGCCCATGTTTCTTGGCCACGAACGGGAAAAAAATGATGATGATTTTAGAACACAAGTACCTACTTTCTTCAAAGTTATCCGAGTTACCATCAGTCAAACAAATTATGATGTCTATGCAGTCTTCGCGCCCACCGAACTCAGGGCTAAACAGGTTTTCTTCGTTGATCTTTTTTAGAGCTAGGTCGGTCCTTGTTCCATAAACCTTTTTGTACTTGATGCTTGCAAATGCCTTAAAAAAAATAAGCTGCTATTTTTTCTCTTCTCGTTGTTAATTGTAATTCTGGACGGTATTCCTCTAACACAATCAATAATTACGTGTTAACATGTTATAGTTATTTCTGATTTCATGGTGCTTTTTTTTTAAAGATTTGCTTCCATACCCTTTGTCTATTCAAGAACAAACTACAAGACAGCAGTTGTTTAATTTTGTAGTTATTTATCATAGATGTTTTGCTATCCAAAGTTATTAAGCCGCCCCTGCCCGGGGTTCGAACTCGGGACTTACTGGTTTAGTAAACAATAAGTTCACCGACCCATGCTGCTATTTATATTAAACCTTTTAATTTAAAAACAATTGAAAGCACTTCACCTGTCTCAAAGAGCTGGCATCTTTGTATCTTGCAAAGTCGAAATTCAAGGTAGGGGTCTTGGAAAATGAGACCATCGAGAAGAGTACTTTATCAGGGCCCACTTCAAAATACTGTGTAAAATTGGCAGCCATGTTCATTTGGAACCCCCAGAATACCTCCCCGATGCTGAAGGAGGCGTCTATTAACAAGAGGATGTCTGCCTTAGTCTCCTTTTCACACTTCGCAGCAGGTGGTGGAGTGTACGGTGGTCTTGTCATAGCTAAATAATCCAGTTTTAGTCATTTAATGCTTATATATATATATATATATATATATATATATATATATATATATATATATATATATATATATATATATATATATGTATGTATATATATATATATATATATATATATATATATATATATATATATATATAGAGAGAGAGAGAGAGAGAGAGAGAGAGAGAGGGAGAGAGAGAGAGAGAGAGAACTATAGGAACATTACCAACATGTGCGTTGTTTTATCTGTGTTTACACACATTTTTATTACTATATTATTTCGTTTTACAACTGAACTATTTGTGATTGTGAGTTTAAATAAAGTTCTTTTGTAAGGAGCCCATGGAGGTGTGCATATTTTTGTTGTATCTTTGAAACACTTGGGGATTTTGTGCATGTATTTCTACTTAGGATGAACAGAGTTACAAAACACAAAGCAATAGCTGTCTTCGGCGGAATATTGGCCAAAAGATATAACCTGTTCATTAATGAATTAAACAATATTTGGTCAAAAGATCTACAGCAAATCTAATGCCCATATCTTTCTTTGTTGTATGATTGTGTACACACACTCTGTACACATATCTGACCTGTTGTTACACGGTAACATTTTAGTGTAAATTTTCTGCTGGCTGTGGACAAACGTGCATAAACATTTGGCACTTAGTATTTATTTATTTTTTAAATGTGTTCCAATGGAGTACATTAAAAGTCAAACGACAAGACAAGTAAGAAAGCACAAACATATGCGGAGAAGTGTGGACAGGAAACAGTTGAAAGGAAAATGATGAAGAGGAAATGGCGGAAACAAACTCTTAAGACGAATGCCGGCAATAGAGCCAGACAGGCCTTAGAGTGGACCCCCGCCCCACCCCAACACAGGAAACGCTGCGAACTGGCAGAGGCCGATAGGTTAGGTTGAGGTTTAGAGCAGCCACCGAACGTTGGGAGTAGAAAGCTAAGACAGATGACCAAATGCACAATAAGGAACAAAAATTAGAATTAATTATATTATAACAAATATACATTACTCACGTCAATTCAAATTTTGTATAAAATGAACATTTTTACATTATGAAAAAATGTACCTTCCACTTTAGATCCCCCCCCCTAAAGTGAGAACTAGGGTCAACCACCCCTCAGCCCATCCATAGTAAACAAGTTAATAAAAGGTCTAGTGACAATTTAAGCGCAATTTCCTTAATTAATATTTTTGAAAACTTTCTTCGGCAATATTGTTATAAATTATGGCAGGAATCGATTGGTAAATGTTTCAAGTCGCTAAGTAGTCTGGTTGCCGAGATATGGGTCAAAAACTGCATTTTTTCGAGGTTTTTTTGCTTTTCCGGGAAATCCAGGAAGAAATTCCGGGAATTTTTTTTGGCCCACAATCATCCTCGGAACTTGCTTAACATATTTGCTTTTGGAACTAATCCTCGATATTGCTTCGTTGAGGAGGAGATACGAATTAAAGCTGCGGACACACATCCATCCATCCATCACCAGAAATGACGAGTTAATAATCGCTATTGTCCAGTATGGAAATTGCGCTAAAAAGTAAAGTTTCCCTTTCAAACCTGACGGTCTATGGACAAGTGAAGTAGAGTTCACTTGTTTCTGTGACCTCGGCATATGAAGAGATAGTGTGATCAGTACTATGCCCAGCCGCCTTTACTTTCCCTAACGTGAGTTAGGTACCCATCACAGTTGGGTGGACACGGGGACGGTCTACTGACTTGAACCCAGATTCGAACTCGAGACTTACGGTACGGGTTAGCAGTCCAGCTCTCTACCACTCCGTCCCACTCCGTCCATAGCTACGCCCAATTATTAATACAAAGTATATACATACAAATAAATATACTATATATTTATATATATATATATATATATATATATATATATATATATATATATATATATATATATATATATATATATATATATCTCTTTACTTGTAGGCTTGGTAGTTGTTGTTGTCGTCGTCGTCTTAGTTGTTGCTGGTGTAGCTTTGGTAGTTGTTGTTGCGGGTGTAGGCTTGGTAGTCGTTGTTGCGGGTGTAGGCTTGGTAGTAGTTGTTGCGGGTGTAGGCTTGGTAGTAGTTGTTGTTGGTGTTGATTTGGTTGTAGTTGGCGCTGGAGAGAGATAAGAACAATTTAATCCTTAACAATGAACATCTAACGAAGTGAAATTCACAGTATTTGCCTGTTTGGTTTTGTAAACACTAAAATTTTAAAAATTTTACTATCTTGTGCAAGATCATTGTCGTATTCATATTTGTGTGCATACGCTGATAAATGCGTTTTTTCCCTGAGAATATTTTTCAGTACTAGTCTTGGTTTCAGGATATAATTTCGATATTTCAAATTATATCGCAACAACTCATCACATAAGTAAATCTTAAATGGTTCTGACTGCTGAAGTCGACCGTTTCACTTGAGCAATCATAAAAGCTAACATCGTGTTAATGTCTCCGTGCCCATCGTTTCCGTTGCTCACCATAAACATCACGGAATGCTGATGTGTGAAATTATATCTACTAAACACGTCTTTAGCATCACTGACTCGTGAATAAACACCCCAACCCTGTAGCACTTCTGTGCACTCTGAATCCACGCCCCGCCCATGAATGTTGTTGTTTCATTAGCATTATATCGTGTGGGGTTGATAATGTAAAGTTAAGGAAAAAAAAAAAAAAAAAAAATATATATATATATATATACATATACATATATATATATATATATATATATATAAATGTATATATATAATACATATATACATATAAAGATAGGTATATATATATATATAGATAGATTTATAAAGATAGTTATTAATATATATATATATATATATATATATATATATATATATATATATATATATATATATATATATATATATATATATATATATATATATATATATATATATATATATATATATATATATAAATTACTTGTCCTCTGAGTTATTTGTGGTGCCGGTGTTGTAACTGAAAGAGATAAACAATGTATGTAGCGGGATAAATTACACACACACACTAGTTTACTATAAAATATATACCATAAAATACATATAAGTCATAAAAGGAACTAAAACATATCCAATAAACTCATTATCCTAAGTAAAAGAAAATTCATAAAAACCTTTTAATAACAAGCTTTTACATAAATATGCTTTTTTTTTGCCTAAACTCGTGTTGTCTAGGCCAAAGTTTGTTTTTCTTATTTCCCAATTGCAAATAACCACACTTTGTTTCCGAAATATGAGTGAATTATGTCGCCATAAAATTGGTGAGACCATATTTATGAACTCATGCAACATAAAGTTACGATGATATAAATAATTTTATTTTCTGTGAGAATAATTAGTCATCATAACACCTATGTATTTATGTTAAATTTAGCGACACTTTTAGTAGATCGAATTCGGCTTGTTACCAAGATCTACCATACATTTAACTGACCGATTTCATCGAGCGTGTCATTAAATTTTACCTGTAACGCCTGGCAACCCAACAGCGCCCAGGAACACGTTAGTTGTATACGTGATAGTTATCTGTATTTCATAAGCGACATCGGTTATCGGAATGTAGTTAGTCGACCCCGAATAGTAGTTTTGGAATTCTGTTTTAAAGTTAATGTTTGTGGAATCAGAGTAAAGTCGGTAACCC